ATGCACCACTCAAGAGACAGAGAGTTGCAGATTGGATAAGAAAACACAACCCATCCATATGCTGCCTACAAGAGACACACCTTAGAGATAATGACAAAACAGACTAAAAATCAAAGGTTGGAAAACCTAACAGCGGAAGTATATAGACCAAAGAGATGTTAGCTATGTGAAAAGGATACATGCCGAGGCTTTAGTCCACTAAAAAAGGAGGAACTAAAACAGGACCGGTCCTGACGGACCAGGAATCAGCCCTCTGGCATAGGTGGGTGTAGGTGGAGTGGCACATCTTAGCAGTGTCAGACACCTGAGACTACTGCAAGAGCCCCAAAGGCATATGGAAGGCTGGTGATGGTAGAAACCAGCCTTTGTGCTGCTGGAAGCTGGCCTGCCAGCACATTTAAGAAGTGCAGCCCGTGATTAGGAAGATAGTCTCAAACATCACAGCCACAACCTTTCTGTTGCTCAATAGAGATGCTCTTTCAATTAAAATGAAAACACAGCAGCCACTTCCGAGGGTAAAATGATGTTACACACCTAATACTTTAAAGTCAAATAGGATATCATCATTAGAATCAGTTGTATATTTCCAGCCAATCAGTTCCATTCTAGAAAAGTCACTTTTTTTTTTTTTTTTTTAATTGTTGTTTGAAATGAACTGTCATTGCTTGGTCATGCAAGCTGAGTACCTGCTACCTAAGATTAGTTCACTAATTAGTTCACTACTCCTCACTTACCAACTTTCTCATTATCTGACATTTCACATTTACAACAATGGTGAAAAATCTACCATCTGACCATATTAGACATTAGTGACACACATCTGGCAGTAACAAATGAGTAATGCTGGCTGTGAGGGTTAAGGTTATGTGTCAGTTTGGCTGGGCCATGCTTCTCAGTGGTTTCACAGTTACGTAATTTGGCAGTTATGGAATGAGGTAGCCATCCTCCATTTTGTGGTCTGATGTGGTCATTCTCCATTTTTGCACAATACCAATCGCTTAACAACCTGGTCTTTGGAACCTAACCATGTCATTAAGTGAGGAGTGGTTGTGTAAAACCACATATTAGAATGTTGAATTCAAGCATATAACAACTTTTACTCAGCAAACATTTATTATCACCTCTGTATAAAGCCCAATGGCAGGCACTACAGATGTCCAAAGAGCATCAAGATAAAGATACCACAAGCTAATACAGTCCGAACAGCAGGAATCAGTGGTCAGGGCTGGAACACAGGACAAATTACAGTTGATATCTCTCTATCAACCTGAGCTTCCTGACGTGATCCTCCTGTGGTTTCCTCCCCTCTAATCCATCACTCTCAGGGTTACCTGTCTAAGATGCAAATCTAACAAGGTCAGTTTGACAAGCACGAACAGTTTCTAACGTGGGTACACTCCCCATACTGTAAACGGGCATATTCCAAAGGCTTTGGCTGTCACTCAGGCCCAACTTGCTCTTTGGACTCATCTTGCTATTGCCTATAGCACATCCTCTGGCCACCCAAGACCAAACCATTCCCTGGCGTGTCCCACACTTTCATGTCCCAGTGCCTTTTCTCAGGGATTGTCTTCTGCCTAAAACCAGCCCCTGCCCCATGTCTCCACCTGGTGCATGCCTGGCTCAGATGGCCTTTACTTCATGAACTTGCCCAATTCCCACCAGCCCCATGGAACCCTCAGAGCATCTGGTCTTGACTTCTCCTACAGGATTTTCACACTTTCCACCACACGACCTTATCCACGTATCTCCATTACCCATTAGACTGCATTCTTTGATGGTAAAGATGTGAGGAGGTCCATCTCTAGCACAAGACCCAAGACACAATGGGTATTAAATAAATTCTCCTTGTTGAAAAAAGGAATAACATATAGAAACACAGGTATGCGTAATGAATATGCAGGAATATAATGTTGAACAGGAGCTTTGGAGGCATAGTACCTAAGGCAGGTGACTGCTAACCAGAAGGCTGGCAGTTCAAACCCACCAGCCACTCTTCCAAAGGAAATCTGGGCAATCTACTTCCATAGACATACCAACATACCACCCCCTTGGAAACACAACGAGGGGTCACTATGAGTCAGAACAGACTCAATGGCAGTGAGTTTGTTTTTTTCATAACGTTGAACAACTATAATCTAAAATTGGTAATACACTAACAGAACTTAGTAGGTTCCCCTAAACCAACCTGATATTCATTTAATCATCATTGTTCATGATGCTCTTCCATTGCCCAAGGTACTTATAATAACCCAATGAAGTCGAAACTATGGTAATCTTCACTTAATAGATGATAGAACTTGAGCTCAAAATGGTCAGTTAACTGGCCCAAGGACAGGTGGTCAGTAAGTGCTGAGGTTAGGCTCAATCCAAGTCCCCCAATTCCAACACTGTGCTCTTAACCTCTATATCTAACCTCTCTCATCACTATTCTCTAGCACAGGAGTTCTCAACCAGGGGTGACACTGCCCCCACCCCTACCCTAGGAACATCTGGCAATGCATGAAGACGTTTTAGATTGTCACAGCTTGCAGTAGTGCTACTGGCATCTAGTGAGTAGAGGCTCAGGATACTGCAAAACATCTTACAATGGACAGAATAGCTGCAACAAAGGAGTATCCGCCCCAAAGTGTTAACAGTGCAGAAATTGAGAAACCCTGCTCAGTGAGAACAGCATTATACATGTCACAATTATCTGAGCAAATAATTGAAAATGTTCCATTTTAAATGGGAGAAGCACTCACCTTTCAAGATCACTGATGCTGTTATCTGCTACCATTGCCTTTAAAACATCAGCATTTGCTAAGAAAAAGATAAAGAATTAAAGTTGAATGAATAAGATGAGAAATCACAGACTTATCACAGCAGAAAAGCAGAAAAACATTCAATTGCTTCAAGTCACAGATGAGACACTGGGGCCCTGTAGAAGGGCAGGTCCTACCCAAGGAAATTCCACGATATGGCACCATCTGTGATCACTTGGAGGAGCTCTGGTGGCAAAGTGGTCAAAGCATTCACTTGGTAATGGTTCAAACTCACCAGCTGCTCCATGGGAGAAAGATGACATGGTCTGCTTCCATAAAGATTTACAGCCTTGGAAACCCTACAGAGCAATTCCATTCTGTGCTATAGGGTCACTGTAAGTCAGAATTGACTCGCTGGCAGTGAGTCTGCTGTTATGGTTTTGGTGAATTACTTTTACCACTCAAGAGTTAAACAAAAATGAAAGTTGTGCAGATGTGCTGCACAACTTTGCTTCTGTATATATCATTATCAATATAACTTAGAAAAATACATTTCTTTACTCTTCTCAAACCAAAGGGGATGCTGTTTTGTTGCATTTAGCTTATTTTGGTAAATATCATAGGCAAATGTTTGCCTTAAGAGACCTATAATCTAACTTGTATGCACCAAAATAATTGGCCTGAAATTACAGACACTCATATAGTGTCAAAGGAGCTCTGGTGGCACAGTGGTTAAAAAGTATTCAGCTGTTAACCAAAAGATCTGCGGTTCAAACCTACCAGCCACCCCACAGTACAAAGATAAGGTAATCTTCCATAAAGATTTACAGCCTTAGAAACCCAATAGGGCAGTTCTACTCTGTCCTATAGGGTTGCTATGAGTCAGAATCAACTTGATGGTACAGGGTTTGGTGTTTTGATTTTATGTAATGTCAAGTCTACCCTACATAAAATGAGGTGTGGGAAAGGGTTAATTTTCCAGGTGGGCCATTTGGCTTACCTCTGCTTTAAGACCATACAAGCCCCTAACCCTGGCCAGATATCTTAAAATTTCAATGTTGTATACATACAAGTTCTCTAATAAGGTCTATCTTATGTTAGACTTCTAACACTAAATTTTCAACAAATCTGAATTGGGGGGTAGAGGGGGCCTAGACTATCAACTAATCCATACTGGATTCAAGTTTCTTGGGGTCCCTCGTGCCCTGCCCCATACTCTTTTCACCTCTTATAGAGAGTAGTCAAAGGTTCCTGGACGGCACATTTGCACTTGTCTGTTAACCTAAAGGTTGGAGGTGTAAACCTGCCAATGATGCCATGGAAGGAAGGGCTGGCAGTGTGCTTCCATGAAGACTACAGCCAGGAGAACCCCATGGAGCAGTTCTTCGACTCTGTAATACACGGGCTTGCTGTGACTTGGAATTGATTTGACAGCAACAGGTTTGGGTTTTTTTGGTTTACAACAGTCAAATTGGAAGAATCAAAAATTGAAGTGGAAGTTCAAGTTTCTCCTGGATACTTAATTGGCAAGGCTAAATATTATTACTGACTCCTAATCTCTCCATTGATTTTTAAATGGACTCATGACTAACCACAGCAAATTCTCTAGAGGAAAGAATTTTTAAAAAGTCACTATTTATCATGTCAGCCAACTACCATGTTCAACATTTTCTATCTCAAATGATATCCCTGCAAGAGGAAAATTAACTCTAATTCCAATACACTGGGCTGAACAGGGTCCTGGACCTGCATGAAGAGCTGTTAACAGTGAAGTGCTGATAGTGGTTTGTCAACATCTTATTGCACCCCTACTCTTTTTCCACTTTTTCCCCTAATCACTCTCCCATATGCTAATATCACAGGCAGACTATAAGCTGGTTTATGTACTGTATATAGATCTGTGCTTTACACACAACTCTCTGGAGCCATGGAGGCTGGCTGAACCCTCGAAGCTAATCTGAACCTCTGAGATAATCTTTAAACCTTAAACCAAAAATATCCCCTGAAGTCTTCTTAAACCCAAACAACAGTTTAGCTTAACCAGTCAAGAATGCCTGCCTTGCGCACTGAGCCCTTTCAGGAGCTACTTACATGGGATCAAACTGACAACAGCAACTGGAAAAGCTAGATAGGAAACAGGGGGCTGTGAGTTCAGCTTCATGGGGAAGAATGGCTGCGCAACTTGAGGAATACAATCCATGTCACTGAGTTGTACACGTAGAAACTGTTCTGCTGGGTATATCCTCAACAACACTAAAATAAAGTAAACTATACAAAATTTTTTAAAAAATAAAGAGTAAGATTTATTTTGTTTCTCAAGAACCGATGTCACCCCCTTTGGGGGGTTTATCACCGCTACCCCTTCCTTGAGAATGCATGTTTGTTTGTTTGGGGGGGAGGATTAAAACAGAATACTATCCTTTTCTAAAGGAAATATTTTCTTTGTCCCAGCCACTCCTCAGAAGGAAGGTTGGGCAATCTACTTCCGTAGTGATATTGCCTCGGAAACCCAAGGAGGTCCCTATGAGTCAGTTTTGGTTTTTCTTTTTACAATTATGATGATGATGTCCAAATGTATCCCAACATGAGTTTTGACTTGAATAAGACTCTTATTCTTACAAAAAAAAAAAAAATACTGAAATAAATCAGTAGTCTCTTCCCCCATATAACAAAGATGACACATCACCCTCGGTAAGGTAGATTTAAGTGCCCTCTGGAGATGCCAGTCATTTTCCCTTTTGACTATTATTAAGGATTGAGAAAAATAATTTTCTTTCAGATAACGAACAGCCTTGGGGAACATGCAATAATTTTCCAGTGTTCCTGTACACTCTGCTGAACTTCAAAACTATACACATAAAAAGGTTGACAACAACAACAAAAGGTCTTAAAGTTAGGGATACCACTATTAGCACTTAGAGGGGTTAGTTTTTTCAAAAATAAACTTCCACAGTGACCTGAGAAAATTAATAAAGGAACTCCTTTAGAAACATTAATAAAATGACCCCAGGAAGATAAAACATTAAAATCATTACTACAACTTACTATGTAGACGCTGTGTCTCCTATAACTCATCCTTGTCTCCTACAAATACAAAATCAACAGCCCCTTTGCTTGCTGTGAAGGAACTCTTGAAGAATGGACTCAAGTTTCTGTACAAACACCATTCCCACCCATCCTGTCCAAGGAAGGTGGGCATGTGGGACCAACACATACACATACTCGTGCATACACACATGCACACACACACACACACACACACAGACAGACACGTCACATGTCAGTCTCTGGGCTAAAGCCCAGTGTACACTAGGGAGTGAATGTCAGTAATCTGCCCCTTGGGGACATTTTTGGTTTCCTGTGATGAGAACACTTTCTAACAAAACACCATCATTAGGACTTAAACACATGCTTTATTTTGGTTGTGAAATTACTATAAAAGAGCAATAATCCTGTTAAGCTCTACTGAACATATATTTCTCCCTTCTATTTTATTCATAAGTCCAGTAAGCAATAAAAGTTCCTTTCTCTACCTTTGTCAACAACACTTCCTTTCCTTTCACAGGCTTCCAGAAAATTGGATGAGTCAGTCACAAGGCAAGGGAAATTAGCTGAGAGCAGAGGAAACTTTCTAACCAGTCGTCCTTGAGTGGATTCTGACTCATGGCGACCCCATGTGTATCAGAGTGGAGTTGTGCGCCACAGGGGTTTCGAGGGGTGATTTTTCATAAGTAAAATTGCTAAGCCTTTCTTGCAAGTGGCCAGTCTTATGGCTGTGTTCCACCAACTGATTTTTGCCTCAAAGCAACTTCATGTGAAGAACTAGAACTGTCCCATAGGGTTTTCTAGGTGTAACCTTCATGGGAGCATTTCACCAGGGCTTTCTTCTATGGAGCCACAGGGTGGGTCTGCGCTACCAACTTTTTGGTTCGCAACTGAGTGCTTAACCACTGCACCACCAGGGCTCCTTACTATAGCAGAAAGACTTTAAGGGCCTGGAAACTCAGCCATGGCATCACAGGCATTTTCCAAACTCTCATACAAAGCAAGAAGAGTCTAATGACCACACAAGCACTATTTGATTCAGCTCTATTTAGAAAACCAAATCAGAAAGTAGCATTGTAGTTAATCCAAACCTTGGGAGTAGGAGGAAAATAAGCAGTGTGTAGGTCAGCTGAGTAGTTCACCCTTCAAGAGATATTTTTCTAACATTTATTTAACATTTAAGGTATGATGTGTTTAAATCATAAAGGATGTCACCCTGAGCACAAGTCACATACTGTACTCAAAGCCATTCATATATCATGATTTAATGTTTAAAACAGTGAATGCAGGTAAAAAAAACCTCAATAAAGTGGGAAGTGGTAATGGAAAGATTGAGCTTAATTTTCTTTTTTTTATTTTTCATGTTATAGTGTGTTTGCAACTTTAAAGAAAATGAATACTAATTTTAATCAATCAGGGATAGAAAAGGCCAACAGGAAACTCTAGATTACATTAATCCAGAGTTATGTTCATGACAGAAACAAGGGTAAGATAAAAAATGCATTTGCTCCATGAAGTAGAAGATTTCATTCTCAAAGCCAAACTTCAAATGCTAGGTGATGAAACTCGTAAGAGGCTCCAGTGCACATCTAACCACGAGCTGTGGTGCTGGAAGACAGAAAACCACAGCTGCCAGTTAGGGAAGAGCTGCCCAGTGAGATTAGCTGTCTCCTGAGTGGCCAAGGAGAATCAAGGGTGACACAAAGGAACAGAGCCACCACCTGTCCTCACAGCTCACTGAAGAAATCACAGGAAGACGGGTGAAGGCCTGGGCCGAGGGAGAGGGGAGGCAGGGTGAAGAATGAGACGGAACGGAAAAGCAATTAAGGAGAAGGAGAGAAAGAAAGGAAGCCGGGTACTCTGAGGCACCGACTGGTTGTAGTAAATGAGGAGGTAATCCACATGGCAGAAACAAAAGGCCACTTTTTGAAAAGAAGATGACAGAATCATAAATAAACAATAAACCAGCCTTGTTCATCCAGCAGTTGGGAGATGAGGGAATCAGACAATATCCCCCTTACAACTGCAGCCTTTAGGGGTTAAAGAAAAGCTTGGAGGTAGATTTGTTATCAAACAAGACTGGTAACAGGGACCTAGATAAAAGCATGCTGATGGTGAAAAAGCCCTGTAGCCACTACCCTGATTGGTGCCTACTTGCTTCATGAGCCCCAAATGCCATGTTGTGGCTGTGACTAAAAAGACCCAGAGCTGTTACCATCTTGCCATGTGCTGGCTGTGTGACCTTGGGCAAGTTTCTTAACTTCTGGGCCTGTTTCCCAATCTGTAAAACTGGGATAACAGGGTCTATATCATAAATAGTGTTGAGAACTAATGTTTAAGAGGTTCTATAAGCTCTGCCAGCTGTCTACTGTATCTCTTTGAAAGGAGAAAGTTGACTGTTACCAGAAAAAAAGCAGTATAAGCAGTGGGTAAGAGCATAGGCTGTGAAGTAAGAATGCTTGTGTTCAAATCCCAGCTCTGCCATTTGGCAGCTGTGCAACTTTGGCTAAGTGAGTTACGTACTCTGAGCCTTGGTTCCCAACTGCAACAGGAGACAAAAGTATCCTACTCATAGGGTTGTTAGGCCCTGGAAAGGCCTGGCACTTGGCAAACATGCAAAGGGTGCTATGAAGTTTATACCTAAGAACCTCAGCAAAGTTTTCACAGCTGACTCATTTCGAGCAATTGAGCTGTTCAGTATCTGCCTCACCTGTCATCTGCAGTCACTAGCTTAGCAGCTGCTTCAGCTCTGGTGGTGCAGGGCCTAAGGCATTTGACTTCTGACCAGAAGGCTGGTAGTTCACACCCACCAGCCACTCCTCAGAAGGAAGGTTGGGCAATCTACTTCCGTAGTGATACTGCCTCAGAAACCCAAAGAGGGGTTGCTACAAGTCAGACTCAACTCGATGGCAGTGAGTTTGGTTTTTTTGGTCAGCTCTCAGAGGGAGCTCTGGTGGCATCATGGTTAAAAGCAGCTGGCTGCTAACCAAAAGTCTGGCGGTTCAAACTCACCAGCCACTCTGCAGGATAAAGATGAGGCAGTCTGCTTCCATAAAGATTTACAGCCTTGGAAATCCTATGGGGCAGTTCTACTCTGTCCTATAGGCTCACTATGAGTCAGAATCAACTCAATGGCAGTGGGTTTGCTTTTTACCTCTCAGAAGCCCAGGCCACACAGGGCTCACAGCTCTTAAAGTCATGGGATATGATTTGAAGTGTGAAAAGCAAAGGAGCAGTGACAGAACCTTTTGTGTCTTTCTCTGTGCACACCTACATTGCCAGGACCTTCTATACTAAAACATCTCTGTGTGTTTCTTGTGCAGGTTAAAAAACATTTTATTATTATTTTTAATGGTGATTTGGGTGCAAATTTACAAAGCAGATTCATTTTACTCTCAACAGTTCACGTACATTTGATTCCATAGCCCCGATTATAATCCCCAACCATAAAAGCGCTCATCTCCTCTCCTCCCTGTTTCTACCCTTCCCCTGTGCCTTCTTATCTATGCATTCCTGACTATCCACCTTTCCCTCTACGTGAATGCTGTCCCTCTGAGGTCTCAGAGCTGAGTGATCTCAGGGGTGCCTCTCCCTGGGGTAGGTGGATGCATCTCCCTAGGGTAGGTGTTCTGCTTGTAGGTCTTTCTACTGTTGGACTGAGAGCCAATCCACAAAGTGAGTCCATCTCCAGGTTCGAAGGATAACGCGGGGCCATAGCCTCAGGGTTTCCACCAGTGTTTATCCAACCAGCAATTCTAGTCATTTTTGTGTAAAAAGTAATTTTTAATTTTTAAAAAAATTATCATTGATTATCATGACATTTCTTTTTAATATAAAAGAGAGACACATCACCAAATATTGTACCCAAAGAAAAGTCTCTGGAAAACATAAAAAAAAAAATCCAGGTGCTCCAGTCTTTTTTTAAGTACCATATTTTAGTAAGTCTGGGGATCTGATTGTATAGACTGTAGCAAAATGAAGGCTGCAAATCAGAAGAGAGGAGAGGCAACATCGAATGGTTGAAAGGATGCTGCATTTGGAGCCAGACAAAGCTGGGCTGCTTACTGCTAACCATGAGAAGTTAACCTCTCAGAGGCTTCACTCCATCTGTAAAATGGGTAACACCAACTTTATAGGGATGTTCTGAGGATTAAATGAGATTACACACATAAAGCATCTTGAGTTATGCCAAATACATAAAGCACACTCTATCAACAACAATGGAAATTAAATCAAATCGTATGGATTTGAATGCAGCTGAACAGAGCTTAAATGGTCAAACACACTGACAATGAAACAACAGGTTGGGCCAGACACAAGTTCTTGCTGAACAGTGAGGACAAGGGAGGAGGTGCACGAACAGAAGAGCAGGTGTTCACTCATTTACAGAGGTAGCTCAACTTCTGGGCAAAATGCTCAGCTGCCCCAGTGCACACTGCTTGAGTCAGTGCTGACCAAAGCAAAGACAAGCCTGAGGAAGAAGCTATTTATTTATTTATTAAACTGTCACGTGAACACAAAGCACAGGGATTTGTAGTTATTGAACATGTACATCCAACACAACTTGGCAGTTACTGAGGGCACGGGATCCTATCAAGATGGTAGCCAGTGTTCAGGACAATCATTCCAATTTATCCAATCAAGATTAAATTAATCCTTAAGAAGTGGGCCAGCAGAACACACTTCAGGGGTGTGTGTGCTTAAATCCATAGAACAGTTAAAACTTTTTAGAGGTTTTAAAACTGAAGAACAGATAACATTTGCATGCTTACTATACTAAGCACTTTGCATGCACTAAGTCACAACAATGCTATGAGGTAACTGTCATGATTAAGTGTCCCTGGGTGGGGCCAATGGTTCACATGCTTGGCTGCTAACTGAAAGGCTGAAGGTTCGAGCCACTCAGAGGCCCCCTGGAAGGAATACCTGGTGAACTACTTCTAAAAAGTCAGCCACTGAAGAAACCCAATGGCGCATAGTCAACTCTGACACACATGGGGCCATCAACTGAAAGGTGTTCAATCAACTCAAAGGCAACTGGTGGTAAAGGTTATTACCCTCATTTTACAGAGGAAGAAATGGAGGCTTCAAGGGGTAGAGTCAGGAGGCTTCATGACCTTCCCCAAATCACACACAACCAGTAAGCAGTGAGGCCAGAATGTGTAGCCGTCAACTCTAAGGCTGGTGTTGCAACACAAAGCCCAACTAACACTTAGAAAACTCACTTCTGTGAAACCTTCATGGTCAGATCAGGTCGGAAATGGAGGTATCAATGAGCTTAGGTAAAAGGCACTGCCGATAACTTCAGAAGAAGTACATATGTATCCTGACTCATTAAAGCATGTTCTTAGTAAAACAGAATGGTGAATCATTCTAAAACACAAAAACGTTCATACCTTCATTTTTCATGATATAGTGGACAATCTGCCCAACTGTGTCACTGTTTTCATTTATGCTGTCATTCAATTCTGAAAGAGAAAAGGGGAGGGCAGAACATGTTACCACTGGTCACCTGCATCAAGTCAATTAGATACTCAGCCTTAGAGTTCAGGATCCCACTGAACAGCCTCCAGAAAGCTCCGGGGATCATTAATGCTCCTAAGAGACTACGCTTTCTTTCTTCAGGCCCAAATTACCTACAGCATAGTATGCAGTGACATCCTCGTCATAAGAAACGTAAAAAGGAAGCCCCAGAATCTCCATTAATCTCAATCTACAACATGCTTTTCTAAACACCTCCTCACTTTCCAAGACAACTGTTTCACGCATTTCTACCAGTCCTTACTATTATTATTTCTGTCTCATCATTTCCATAAATCTCCTTGGGTTTTATTTTAATTGAAGACTTGTGATATGAGTTTAGAGTATTAATTTCTTTTTAAAATTTATTACTCAACCATGTTTGTAAGACTCTTTTGAACTTCAAAGTACACTTCCAAATTACCTTAATTATGACTCTAATGATTTTTCTACAAACTCAGTTTACTTTGGGAGACTCTGACCAGCAGTATATGTCTTTGAAAAATGGAAACCTCCTCTCTGAAACCAATCAGCATGGTTTGTTTCAATCAAACAAAGAGAAACAGGGAAGTTTTAAACATCTTGTCTTAGTTCACAGAGAACAAGTCAAGGTGTGCAAGATCTCCTCCATCCAACGGGTCAACTTTCCTCCTCCGTTAAGATAAATGTTTGGTTTTGCAAGGAGATGCTGACTGTGAAGCCAACCTACAGAGGGGCTGCGAAGGATGAGAGAGAGGAGGAGGCTCTGCTTTCTGTTGACAAACACTCAGCTTTGGTTTGCTCATAAGCTTACACATGACTCATCTCTGCCTCAAAGGTCAGTGGGGGTGGGAAAAACCAACAGCCAGGCAAGCTGGCAAGGAATGAGGAACCTCCCCCAACACCACTCCCCAGGCTCACTGGAAGGGTGACCTACTCCAAATGTCACCTTTCTGCAAAAACTGCCCTTTGGGGGCAGGGAGGGTTATTTACTGTCTCTCAAGACCCAAGTCAGGAATTTGCACCAAAGGATGCCTACAAGGAACATCTGTGGAGAAAACAGGAGTTCATCTGTCAGGTTTTTAAAGAAGTTACTACCAACTCCATGCTAAGAAGGAAAGGTGAGACAGCTCATAGGCAACACCATTTTTACGTTTCTACTGCACTGTTTAAATCACTTATTTTATACACACAAATTCCAGTCACATAGATTTAAAACAGAACTCCCCCACAAAACTAGATACCACAAAAATGGTGGCATCAACTTAATTTTCCCACCATTCTTACAAGAATCTTACTCAATAAAAACAGTAAAAATTAATATTTACTGAGAATCTGTAAGTGCCCAGCCCAAAAGGTATCTTCTCTCCAAATTTCACAGTAATTCAAGGGGGGGGATTACCATTCTCATTTAAATTTCACATAAGGAAACAGAGGTTCAGAGGAGGCATAAATTGCCCAGGCCACGTGCCAAATAAGCATAAATCACGTGGTAGGTGCTGAATAAATGAGTGTTTAAATAAATGGAAGTCCCTGGGTATGCAAATGGTTAATGTGCTTAGCTGCTACCCGAAAGATTGGCAGTTCAAGCTCACCCAGACGTGCCTTGGGGATCTTTCAAGAACTTAGCCATCGAGAACTCTGACACACATGTGGGTCGCCATGAGTTGGAATTGAGTTGACAGTAACTGGTTTTTAAATAAATCAAATCCAAGGATTCAAACTCCAGGTGCGATTACTACAAAGTCTATACTTATTGCACCACACCACCTGCTGCTAAAATGGATCATTTTGCCCCATAAAGATGGAAAACACCTATGACTTCTGGCTTATTTTTAAATCACCCCACCTCTAGTTCCCTATAAAAAGGATCCAGGTTACTATTTACCTATCTTTTCAACCTTTTCTTCTTCGACCTCTTGTTCGGCTTCTGTCGTACAACGATACCCTTTCTTCTTAAGCAGGTGGCAGATGAGGACGCCAAACAGACCCATGATAAAGAACACAGGGACAAGTGCATACGCGATATATTTTGTGTTTCCATTCTCGGCATTGTTGGTGGGCGACGGCGTCGTCTCTGTTCTGGAGTGAAGTGGATGGCTGCCACCATTGTCTATAGAAGGAAACGTTAGATGGCTTTCGTAGGCAAGAAAAACCTGACCCCTTCCGGAAATGTTCACATTAAATCAGAGCCTGCCCCCAAAGCCACGGCCCATGCTGAGATGGTGGGTCTGGAAGCACACAGCACCACGGGTGGGAGTCCTGACTCAGGTAAAATGTCTGAGTCCACATTCCCTCCCTGCTTTGCATCAACTGGGTCCCACCCTGGATAATTTTTTTTTTTTTTAAAAAAACCTCTTCAGGTCAGAATGGGTTTCCTCATCTGTAAAAATGCCTGCTCAGCATGGTTAGAGTTACAGAGTTTTGGTGGCATGCCCACCCAGCAAAGCAAACACATCCACAGGAGAATGTGAGTGCAGAATTTAGTTATAAAGAGCACCATATCTCCAGAGCCATGGGTTTGATTTCTGGCACCACCACTTAGCAGCTACGTGACACTGGACAAGCACTTAACATCTATCTCGGTGCCTCTATTTCTTATGAAATGAGCATAATAAGGAGCCCTGGTAATGCAATGGTTAAGCACCCAGCCATTAACCAAAAGATCACTAGCCACTCCATAGGACAAAGATGGGGCAATGTGTTTCCATAAAGATGACAGCCCTGAAAATCCTATGGGGCAGGTCTGCTCTGTCATATAGAGTTTCTATAAGTTGGAATCAACTCAGTGGCAACAGGTTTTTGTTTTGTTTTGTTTTGTTTTATCTATCCCTGCAGGGCTGTTGGAGCTCTCATAGTGTAGTGCCTAAGGCACAAGACTGCTAACCAGAAGGCTGGCGGTTCAAATCCACCAGCCACTCCTCGGAAGGAAGGTTGGGCAATCTACTTCCGTAGTGATACTACCTTGGAAACCCAAGGAGGGGTCTCTATAAGTTGGGTCCGACTTGACTGCACATAATAACAACAGGGCTGTTATGGAGATTAAATGAATTAATACATGTAAAACACTTAGAACCATTCCTGCAAGGTAATAAATAATAAATGTTACATGTCGTTTTTTATAACTTTGTTGGATTCCATCGTAATCTGGGGTAATAAATGCCCAAAGGACCTACATAACTTGTATCCTTACCATTGTTCAGGCACAACCACTCTACCAAAAAACCAAACCCATTGATTGCTGTTGAGTCGATTCCGACTCATAGAGACTCCACATGTTACAGATAGCCCTGCTCTGGAGCATTTCCTTGGCTACTGTCTTTATAGATGTGGATCACCAGGCATTTCTCCCATGGTGCCACTGGATGGGTTTGAACCACCAACCTCTAGGTTTGTGGTTGAGCATCAACCATTTACGCCACCCAGTGACCAACCACAGTGGAGCCCTACTACCATTCCACCAGAGGGCACTCATTGGTATATAGAACCTGAGTCAATATCACAGACCAAGAAGTTGTTGGAAAGGAAGGGAATCTGGAAATAACTGCCAGGACTCCCCATGCTCACGGGGCAGATGTTGGAGGACGTAAGAAAGTTAGAGGCCTCCTTTGTCCAGGAATCATGTTCCTTCTCCAGCTTAGGCTCATCATTCACCTGGTTTCTCCCCTCTCACCTTCTGTCCTGCTCTTACCACCAGAGACACACCTCCTACTTTTAACAAGGGGTCATGCTAGGATGGCAAGTTTAGGAGGGACAGTATGGTATCATCTAAGAGATGTTTAGAGGAAGAATTCACTCATTTAACAAATATTTATTAAGCACCTACCATATGCCAAGCACTACTGTAGGCACCTGTGATATATGAATGAACAAAACAGACAAAAGAGGATTGTCCTCATGGAGCTTCTATTCTAGAAGGATTTGTAAAGTGACATCTCGAATATGAAGAAGGAAAAATCAGGGGTGGCCTAGGGGTGCAGACACAAAATTGGGAGCATGTACATTTGCATATTTGTTCTCTGGTCCAAATAAACACTTATTGACTGCATGCCCTTTATGGTAAGTATCATGCACCACACTGGTAGCTGGGCCCAAAAAGTGAACAATATACATGTTGCCCCATCATCTCGGACACTTACAGCAGCCATGGTATGGCATAAAGGACATAGTTTTACGCTAAGAAAGGTGGCCCCTGTCCCTAGTTCTGAAAAAGTAACACTTTGAATAATTGGGGTACCTTGATCTGGGAGTTCCAGGCCACACCTGAGGATTAGTGCTGGTGAATGGGGGCTGACTAGATGAGGGAAAAAAAAAAAGCTCATCTGAGGGGCTGAAATCAACTAGTGTACCAGGAGGCATGATTCACTCTATCAGACAGGAATGGCCAATAAAAGCCCAGAACACTAAGGCTCAGAGAGCTTCCTGGTTGGTGAAGGGAGGGTGGCATACCTTCTCTGAAACACAAGAGGTCTGCACTGGAATTTTCCAAGCCTCACCTGTGTATCTCTCCCTTGTGATAACCCTAATTTATATAATTTTACTATAGTAAGACAGTTGTCATAAGTGTAATATCTTCTGTGAGTTCTTTAAGTTGTTCCAGCAAATTAATGAACCCAAGGACAGTGACCTCTTAACTTGTAAAGTCTGACCTAGCCCTGGATGACTAGAGAGAGAGGGTAAGAAAGACAGAGAGAGAGAGAGTGCCATGTGGGTAGCTGGTATCAGAATTGAGGGAGAAGTGGGAAAGTGGGGATATGATTGATCCCTGCTTTCTGGCACTTGGATTTTTGCTGATTCTTATCTATAAAGCTATGATCATAAGGGGCAACAGCCATTAAACGAGTCAACACATGGACAGATCATGATAGATTGTGAGAAATGCCATGGAAGAAGGTATGGGGCACAAAAGAGGAAATAACAGTGCCACGTACTTCATGACTTTCAGAACAGGGAAGCTGGCGGGGGGGGCATCATCTGGAGAAAAGGAGAAACTGGCTTTTAATGTATCAAGTTATCACACTGACATATACCAGAGGCAGCTGCGTATCTGGGCCCACTAGGGTACCCTGGAGGTTCCAGAAAGGTCCATACAAGGGGGAGCGAGTCCCCTCGATGAGGTAAAGAGAGTGGACCATACAATTATAACACACAGCCAATTTAGGTAACAGAGAAAGTGTAGACTGTGCAGAAAAGTCGGCAAAGTGCAACCCTTATCACGGTCACGAAACAAGGAGAGAATTATCAAATGAAGGAGGGGTCAGGGAGGACAAGAACTAAAGAAAAAAAATGAGGTTTGACTGAAATGAAGTCTTATTATTTGAAATGCTCAGATTCTGAAGTAATAAAAGGAAGCTTTCTACATCAGAGAGATTCACACATACTGCTTAAGAACCTACAAATTGGAAAGCTAGAAACACTTAATTACAAGCTTTCTCAAGTGGACTTTGGTGAGAAAGCAATCTATGCTGTAATGACCAAATGGAGACAAGTACCAGGTGTGAACCGAGTTCATTTGATTTAGCAGTACACACACACACATCTCTCTGTAAATATCTGTAAATCTATCATCTAAATTGGATTTAACCTTAAGCCTTACTTCTTACTCAGTAAAAACCAGAAACATTTATTTAACTCCTCTAGCAGTTCTAATAAATTCTACTTATTAATTCCTTTTAATAAGACATTTCCCATGCTGCAGGAATGGCTGAAGCAGGTAGCACGCTGAGGCTGAAGGAGTTTTACTCAGCACCATCAGCTATTTGAATCCAGAGGTAATTATAAATTCTCTTTGGCAACAATGGGAAACAGGCATGAACACAGCAGGGCTTAGAATTGGAGCCACACAAATACTCCTCAATCAGATGGTTTAGAATGTGCCTTCAATGTTAATTTGATATCTAGCAAATCCTTGCAAATGGTACTTATTTACAGTTTTATGATTAAGAAACTTGTGTCATTCATCTAATCTCATTAATATTCCACCATGGAAGAAATGAAGAAGAAATTGATGTAAATTCATGCAGCATATAATGGATTATTGTTGTTGGGTGCCATCAAGTCAACTCCAACTCACGGCAACCCCGTGTGACAGAGTACAACCGTCCCATAGCATATTCTTGGCTGTAATGTCTACAGAAGCAGGTGGTGAGGTCCCTCTCCTGCAGATATATTGTTGTTGTTGTTATGTGCCATCGAGTCGGCCCCGACTCATAGCGACCCCTCCTTGGGTTTCCGAGGCAGTATCACTACGGAAGTAGGATTGCCCAACCTTCCTTCCGAAGAGTGGCTGATATATTAGGTGGGTTCAAACTGCCGACCTTTCAGTTAGCAGTAGAGCAAGTCATTGTTTGTACCATCAGACAGATACAATATAGCATCAGGGTTAATGGTTCAGAATGTCAGGGAATAGATAACAACTTGGCCACTTACTACACATATCATCTTGAGCAAGTTATATAACTGCTCTGTGCTCAGCTTCCTCATTTGTAAAACAGAATAAAAATGCTGGTACCTACCTATGACAATTTTAAAACATGGCCCCAAAATTCTCTGATACTGTTCCCATAAGCGGTGAAGTCTCTATCTCCTCCCCTTACATACACATGTTGTGCCCTACCTGACCAATAGAATATTTTGGAAGTGATGCTTTGTCAGTTTTCAGGCCTTGGACCTTAAAAAATTGACAGTTTCCAGTTCCTGTCTCTTGGAGCATTTACTCTTGGAACCTACCCACCATGCTGTGAGGAAGCCCAAGATGCCCTATGGAGAGAAATCAATAGCTGGCATCCAACTGCCAACCACATATGTGAGCCACCTTGGAAGTAGATCCTACAGTCCCAGTTGACACTGCATTAAGCAAAGATGAGTTGTCTCTGATGAGTCCTGCCCACACTGCAGATTCTCAAGCACAATAAATGACTGCTATTCCTATACAGTGAAGCCCTGATAGCACAGTGGTCAAGCGCTTAGTTGCTAACCAAAAGGCCAGCAGTTCAAACCCACCAGCCGTGGGAGAAAGATATGGCACTTTGCTTCCATAAAGATTTACAACCTTGGAAACCCTATGGGGAAGTTCTACTCTGTCCTGTAGGGTTTCCTTGAGTTGGATTGGCT